TGTGTAGTAACTCGTGGTACGCCCTGCATGTGCAACACAGCAACAGCAAATAATTTTTCACCTGTATACTGTTCCTGGCTGGATGTAATGGAAGGCGTCTATCTTCATCAGGAGGCCCTAAAAGGGGAAAAGTAGTTTCACCTCACGATGCTGACTCAAGGAACTTGAAGTTCATTTACCTTTTGGATATCATAGTGAAGCCCCCGAGCTGCAAAGTTGGGAATGTAATCATAGCTGAGGATTCCCTCGGGGTACTGTGGACCAGGAGGACAAAATGGAAAATTTGAATAGGTTTGTGTAACATGGCATTTCTAATATCCCGACTTCAAACTGGCACAAACCTTGAAGTGCTCAATGAGAAAATCCCTGGCTGTGTTGTAAATCATCGTGTTGAGCGCATTGGAATACAGAGCCAGCGTGTAGTCGTAGTCAAAGCCGTAGATGTCCACTTCAGCCAAGCTGACCTCATTGTTGGCGTAGATGGCCGACGAGTTGAGGGACTTGCACGCGCCGGGTGGAATTAGCTCTGACCGAGAAAGGGAAATAAGTAGAGGTGCAACAGTTCATTGATTAGTCGACAACTAATTTAAGAATTGATTCACGGAGATTTAACTTTTAATGTCCAAATCCTTGGAATTTCAGTCGCTCAACAGGCAATACTCTCCCATTTCAAGGGAAAAGAAGAAGATTTTTGAAATAATTATTTCAGACATTTTAATGCAGCCCTAAGTATTTTTTTAAACAGAACTGAACAAGTAGTGACTGAAGGAAGCAAACATTACAACTGGGGAAATTGCAAGTACTGTAAACATTAAGAGGAACGAAAAGAAAAACAAATGCCATGTACAAGCTATAACAAATATAGATTGTATATTAATTTACAGCAACAAAAAGTGCAGTTTGTCCAAATTGTCTACCAGTGCTTGTCCACCTCCACATTCCTATGATGATCCATTAAAAATGGTTTACAATTTTGTTTCAATCTTGTGATGTTTGCACTCAGTTTCATCGTCATTCAAGAAGCCCAAGCCTGAACTAACACAAGAAGAAAAGTACAGTAATCGTAAAATAAGTACTTTCAATCACCGCAAAATGTTGAAACTTGCAAAAGAAATAGGAAGTCAAAGTAGCTTAGCGGCAAACCCGGCTGACTTCAATTTGGAGAGACTGGCAAAATGGCAGGAAGTTGCATAATGACTCTACAGATTTCATCTATGGCATATCCAGCTAAATGAGATTCCATCACCCTCTTCTAGATTCAGTTTTGTTTATCACAGAGACAACATCCTATAGATTAGGGGGGCCCCAAGTCGGGTTCTCGAGAGGCCCTATCCAGCCTGTTTGACGTGTTTCCCTCCTCCAACATACATGATTCAATGATCAGAATCATTATCAAACTTCTCTAAAGCTTGCTGATGAGCTGATCATTCGAGTCAAGTGTGTTGGAGGAGGAAAAACGTCAAACATTCTGGATAGGGCCTCTTGAGGACCGGACTCGGGCACCCCTGATGTAGATAGGGAAACAGCACAATCAGCATTTGCAGTCTTGTATTTGCACAGGAGCACAGGAAAACAGATTACATGAGGAGTTTACAAAGTGTCCCTGAGTGATATGAGAGAGAGTGGCTGAGGGCATTGGGGGGTGCAGCTGGACATGCACCCACCACATTTGGCTTCTTAATATAATCCAAAAGCCAGAGTCAAAATACCTCCAAGCATTTACATCATCAAGAGGCCTCGAGTATTTGTCCCATTAATTCAGCTGATTTTCCCACGAAAACTGAGTGACAGTATTTTACAAAATATTTTTTCATTGTTTATCCATTGCTCACATCAAATAACTAGATTAACTTTTTCTAATGTACACATAACATTTTTGTATCTATTAAAAAGTATTTGGTGAATTAATTAGAATGAAATTGCAATTTACAGAAAATGATCAGAAATTTCCTCTGTCCTGATGTGGCTTTTCTGTCCGATTTAAAAATTAAATGTTTCCCTTAAACACAAAGATTTGCTCACATGAGTAAAACATTTTCTTAAAAATCATTGAGAGAGTTTCATAAGCAAGTTATAATCAAGTGGTGATGCCATATGTGTTGAATTAAAAGAGTTTGATGGAAGGACTACAAAATCAACCTTGTGGTGACAGCCTTAAATGCTACTTTCGGCTCAACCTCATTCAAAACAACCATACACTACTAGTGGACGATTACACACGAGTAGAATATTTTTGTCATATGAATGACATTGCTGGACACGAGTAGGACAACTACATTTTACTATTGAATCAAAACTGCACTAGTTCATAACTGCAAGCTACTAGTACAACTCAGCTCTACTGTATTTATAGAGCACTTTAAAACAACCACCGCTGTCTACAAAGTGCTGTACATGGAGCAAATATCAGAAATACAATACTAAAACAAATAAATAACAAAGACAGTAGAAAGCACAAAAACACTAAAACAAAAAAATCAAGTCTGAGTTATGCTGAGTCAAAAGCCAAAGAATAGAAGTGAGTTTTGAGATGAGCTTTAAAGATGGGCAGCGATGGGGCTTTTGCCGAATGTTCGGTGGGAGGTCATTACAAGGAGAGGGACCAGCAAAGGATAAGGCTCGATCCTCTCTGAGCCCCCATTTCGTTCTTGGTACCTCTAATAGTGTCTGCTCTGCAGACCTGAGGCACTGGGCAGGTGTGTAGGGGTGGAGGAGCTCAGAGAGGTGAAGTGGAGTGAGGCCATTTAAAGATTTGAAAACAAATAATAGATCGCATTATAAATTTATAGTAGCACGCAAATGTCAACTAGCACACAGTTTAGCCTCACAAGTAATGTAGCCAAAATTGTCCTCCTAGTGTGCAGTAATGACATGTGCTCAATTCTACCAGTTGCATGAAATTAGTAGTACATTTGACATCCACCTTAGAGGAACAAAAAATGTGACAAGTAAGCAGAGGTGGGAAGAGTACTGAAAAAGTGCACCCAAGAAAGAGCAGATAATGGGTTAGTGATGTATATATATTTTTTTATCAAAAGTATGAATGTGAACAAGACAAAAATGCGAAAATAGTAATGGGCCAATTTTCAACATTCAATGCAACAGCAGAACAATTGTGCCTTACTCGTGACGTTTGCTCCACTACTGTTATTGTGTGACATTTCTGCAAGCTATTAGATATGAAGCAAGAGATGTTAGCCATTCGGAATTGTATCATTAGTATTGCCACTAGCAGTACTAACATTTAGTTGTCCTACTACTAGTGTGCCAAAGTGTACAGAAATGTCATGCAGAAGTGGGAAAAAATACTATGAATAAGACAATCGTTCTACTGGTGGGGTCCATTAACTTGCCAGTGACGATCAGAAGCTGAATATCACGGCTGTCGAACAAAAACGCATATAAGAGTCTAGTTGCCGTGCTGGGAGAAGTTGCTGACGGTTCTGGTTTTATTTTTCATAGAGGGTTTAACAACAACACTAAATCAAACGCTACGCGAGGAGTTCAAGTGGCAAGACCAGAAGAGACGAAGGTTATTTCGAGATGCGATGGACGATTATTCATATGTCACCGAGTTTCTTATTCTACTGACCGTGAACCAGCCGTCTCAGATCAGCGTAACGAGCCCACATGTAGGTCTTGTGATCCACGGGATCCGCGGTGGCAGAAGACGTTGACGCCCGTCTCCTTGCGCCAGTCACACCGGGCGCACCCGCGGGCTCCTCGGCTCGCTGTCCGGCCGCCGCCGCAGTGGCCGCGTGGAGCGTTTCGCTGCACGGTTGCACGTCGCCACTCGACCCCCTGGAGCCGCCGGAGGAGCAACTGCTTCGCTCCTTTGTCCCATCGTGGCCAAGTAACGTGACGCAGCACGCGCGGTTCACTTTGGCGGATTGTTTTCGACTTCGTCCGCTCCAGAGGCTGCGAGTCAGCGACGTGGCCGCGATTTTCAGCGACATTGCAGGCGCCTGAAAAATTGCTCAAGCCGACTGGGCGTGAACGTCAACAACGGATGAATCCACAAGTACTAATACTCTTAGCCAGCTTCCAGTCCGAGCACGTCCCCTAAATGCAAAAGAGGGCGGGCCGTCTGTTCGAGCAGCCAATCCTGAAGACAAAGTACATTTCTACTGGACGTGCGTGGATAGCTGTTTACCCGAGCAGCGGTGGCAAGTAACGAAGTACAAATGCCACAGTTACGTACACTTCAGCACAGTGATTAAGTCAGAATCGTTTGTTACAATTGGGAAGAAGTAACAAAAATGTTTTACTCCACAAGAAGTCGACTTCTGTATTCCTTACTTTTTAGGGGAAGTAACGTTAGACTACATTATGACCGTAACACTTTTCAAATATTTTGTTACCTGTAAAGCAAAGTAACGAGGTACGAGAACTTGGTTTCGTCCTTCAATAGTCAACATATTAGACTCAGTAACAAAGTGCAAAACCTTTTTTTTGGGGGGGGGGGCGAACGAAGTATGAAAAGTCTTAAAACAATATAAGCTATATCAATGCAGTAACATGGTACTAATACTTAGTTACCTGCCCCAAAAACTTTCCTTCAGTACAGTAACAAAGTACATCATTAGTTTTGGGGATGCAACTAAGTAGAAATACTTTGCTTGATTACAAATAGTTATGTCCCCTAAAAGTGTACTCTGATACAACAATGAAGTGTACTATCACTTTTAGGGTGTAGTCTAAATAGGTACAGTAACAGTACAAATATTTTGTTTTTGAACCAATGTAGACTTTGGGTATGTGTAATTAAGTATTTTGTAAATGTATGTATGTTGTACGTATGTAAATGTAAATGATGGACAATTGTTAAGCGCCTGCCCACACACCTTTTTCCCCTTATACAGCATTCATCAATATTTTTTTTCTCTTTTATATTATTTCTAAAAGTGGAGGGAGACTAACAAAGAAAGAATTTTGTTGCTCAGTGCTACTGTTAAGTGTTTACAGTGCATATGACAAACATCCTGACTCTTGACAAAGAATTCAATTGGTGTACAACACTGTACAGTGTTGGTTTGCTTTATTCTGGTTTGCAGGAGAATGAACAGACTGGACTACAAACAAAACTTCAGGAGTGTGCGCATGATGCACTTGGGCTATTTATACAGAAACCAGAGCACATAAATACAGCTAAAAAAATCCACAATAGAAATTAAATTACGTTGATTTAATTAAATAGAATAACAAATCCATTTTGCCTTCAAAAGTTCGAACACTCTTGTCAAATATTTTCACTTTTTAGCTACAAGTTGCACAGATTAATAAAACCAAGTCCCCCCTCGAAGCAAATATCCTTCCATTGTACCTAAAAATGCTTCCCATGCCTTTCGTTCTTGTGTGTAATCAGGATCACAATGGATTCAACATATATAAATAGAGATCATTCACTTCGTCAGTCATTGCTTTGTCAGCAAAAACACACCCAAAGCAAAGTGGTGAAAAGTGAAAATATTCAAATCTACTACTGTATATTCAGTGCTGCGCAGTTTCCACTTCATGGGGGGAAAAGAGACTTCAAACTTCAGTATTGCAAAGTTATATTAAAGGAGGCTACTCTAAATCTTCAAGTGCAACAAAAACAAATGGAGTGATGGTTCACGTGTTTATGTGGGACAATCTACAATTTAAAAAAAAAAAAAAAAGCCTGGTTGCTCTGGAAAATGAATCATTTGCCACCTCCTCCAGTGGGTGGTGACCTGGAAACAAATGTGGTGAACTGCAAGTTTGTGTTGGTGCTTCAGAAGCAATTGAACAGATTGATTCTTCTGTTCTTTACAACTCTAGGTGACCATTTCAGTTCGAAGTTACCAGAATCTCAATTTGATCTCTCAAATCATTTGAGTGCAATGATGGCAGTACAGTAGTTGAGGGGGAAAAAAATCCCATGGGTGAAAGTTCTGACACAAACCCATCACACCATTCGCATAGCAATTATTGTATGTGATGAAGTGGAACACGTGGTCTTCATTTACAGGATTAAATGACAAAAACAATTCATAAGCTCCAGTGATACGTTGAAAAAAAAAACAGTAGTCTCAAACAGCAGACAAAAACAAAAGGCACAAATAAAAGAAAATTAACAGGAGGTGGCCTCTAGTGGCTTTGCACTCGTTTTTTTTTGTAACAGTTATTCCCAGGTGAATAATTGTGACGTGTCAACATGTACATTTACTGTGTGTCTAGTCTATCTTTTACTGCATTTCGTGATCTGTTCTCAGATTTTTGAGGCCAATGCTAACTGAGCTCCAGTCAACAAAGAAACATTTCTATTTTCTTCCATGTATTTATTTTAAAAGTCAGACATGCTGGGCAACAGGGAAACACTAAACTTGACCGCAAAACAGTCCACAGCTCGCTCAGCACTTCGAACGGAAAATATTGCATGTCATATATATAGAATGGCAAGCGGAATCATCATTTAAAAATTGAGTTTGAGTATCCAGAATTAAAATTGTAGATATCTGTAACTTCTCCCTGACTAGTTGAAAGCACATTTGGAATACCGCAGTTGTATTTTTTTTTTTTAATTCTAGATATCTATTAAGTAATTGTGACTACTAAATGGACTTTCACTTGTATAGCGCTTTTCTACCTTTGGTACCAAAGCACGATTACCTCATTTACCAAGTGATGACGCAGCATTAGGAGCAAATGGGGAGTTCAGTAACTTGCTCAAGGACACTTGGACATGGTCACATTGGCCGGGGATCGAACCCTCAACGTTTGTTGGGAGAGAACCCCTCTACCACTGAATCAACAGATAGAGCTATTCAAAACTGAATTAGAGATATCACCCATTTAGTTATTAGATATCTTACTCCAATTTGAGATATCTACATCCTTTTGAATGGTCATTCTATCTGAAAAGGGACATGCAGAGAGATGCTTGACTTGAGGGAAATTCATTATTAAATCGCAAACTCGAGCTACAGATATCTACAAATCTGTTGCAAATATCCCTAATTAACATCGGAAATGTTCTTGTTAACATGGCGAAAGTGAATTGTGGACATTTGCGACACATGAAATGTCAAGAGGGCTTGCTTGTTTGCCTCAAGTCGTCTTCTCAGTGGACGGAAGTGAAGTTACTTTTCCTGACCTAGATGGTGACACCACATCTCCTCTAAATGCACATCAAGCAACATCTTGGATGTTCAGAGGCAGGAGAAAAGGCAGATGGGAGACTCTGGACATAAAATACAGCCGAGAAATGAGCAACATTTGCTCGACGGAGCTTTATGAATGGAGTCAGGAAAGTGAAAGCTTGCACTTAACAACTCTGCTACAACTTTTGACGAATTGCAAATTGTGGGAGAACCTTCATGACTTTTACCAGCAATGGCGCATGTCAGATTGCAAACTGCCTGCAAAATAAAATGCGCATCTAAGATTTTCCTTATAATGTATCACAATGATGTATTTATTTATTCATTGATTTTCTACCTGAGGTGGAAAACTTTATGGCTCACTGTTCAAGAAAAGATTGTTTGCAGACAACTAGTTCAGAGGTTTGTGGGTCAGGCCACAGAAGCGTAACCAAACACATTTTCAAAATGTGATTGGAACGCTTGTTTAATGAAGGAGCCCCGAGATAAATAACAACAAGCTCGTGACTTATAGGAGAATAACAGTGTCAGTAAGGCTGCATTGCTGTGTAAAACACAAACTTGGGGCAGGGACGCGGGGGTCACATGGTTAAGCTGAAGGCAAGATTGCAAAGACGTATCTCACTTAAGGAGATTTTGGCTTGAATGGAAGGACAGTCAACACAGTAGATGAATGGAATAAATACTGCCGATGGTAACTCACAACACAGCCTTGATAAACAAGACCAGATGGAAGTTGGGACCACGTAGGACACGACACAGTCAATGACTTCACTTAATAATATTAAGAGTAAGAATAAGCAGCGCATATTTCTCTTCATCCTCCTCCAGGCTGCATGCAAGCGAGTCGGATGAGAGCCGTATTTTACTTTTTAAAAGTCCATCTCTGCGGGGAAAGCAGCAGCACATCTGGGATGAACAGGATGTCTTGAGGCAGGAAGGGAGGAGGGAACCGGGGAGTCAACATGAAGACGGGTCCTTGCGGAGAAGACAGGGGTAGGTGTAATGGAGTGTTTCAGCGCTATAGAGACAGGATGAAACACACACACACACACACACACACACACACACACACACACACACACACACACACACACACACACACACACACACAGAAAAACAGTTTGTCATAAAACACTCATTTGTTTAACACTCATTCAGGAGTCTAACGCAAAGGGCTATAATTACCAAAGTTAAGATTTCATTTGAATCTACATTTCTGACCAATTTCTTTCGAAAGATCTTAGATATTCTTAATATACCTTATTTATTAACTCATTCAGTGCCGTCGCTGTTTGTAAAAATCAATTGGAATCCAACCGGTGACCGCCACTGACATAATGTATTTGTCATGTACGTTTTTCATGGGGTAGGCGTGTGGAAGAGAGTTCCCTCTGGTCACTGCTTCTGTTGCTACAGACCACCATCGTTTGTGCATCTTGAGGGGTCAAAATGCTCTAAAACAGCTCATGATATGGGGAACCCTGCTTTTGAACGGCTGCCATTACTCTGAGCTCATGTGGCTGTACTTGGATCGCAGGCGCAAACAGTGGGAGTTGGAAGGGGCGTGTTGCGGCCATTTAAAAGGCTACACGGGTTCGCGTCTTATGTGCACACATAAAGGATGTCAAACGCCAGACTATCTTCGATGTCTGATAAGATGATCTTTTGGTCTGAGGCAGGTTGAGAGGGGATTTGTCCTGATAACTGGGTCCGACCAATCCGAGGTCTGAGTGAGTCAATGTCTCTGTGAACTCTGATGTGAACATAATGTAGCCAATCAAACAAGTGCCTTGATTGATGAACGAGGACGGGCCAGTAAATTAAACGCACCAGTAAATTAAACATATGTCTTGACTGATGTCAATTTTTTAAAAGTCTTTTTCCCAGATGGTAAGTCGTATTTTCCAAAGCAAGTATTTTCTCGGAGACACCATCATCTTACAATGCTCCCGCCTCCAGTTCTCTTCAGAAACACTGAGGCGCACATCCGGGAATGTCTGTTTTTATTCACTTTTTGTGAGACCACACAAGATTTCTGCCTTGCAGATATTCTTGTTATTATATTACAGCCCTCTCAGGCTCAAATTAAGTTCTCGTAACAGGTAAAGTCTAGGTACTTGGTTGTTGCAAATCTGCAACACCTGTCCTGTGAAAAAATCCTGATGTGCGTACCCGGGCTTAAGAGCATTGCGATTTTCGGCTTAGATTTTGTATTGTATCAGCCCTTACGAAGGAACCAAGAACATTGATAGCTGCTCGAGTACCATTACACTTGCTGGCTCCTTAACATCATCGCCTGCGAGCCAGTCTTGATTGTGAGCTGTGTGCCCGAGCAGAGGGCAGCACCTCTGCTTTGCTACTGGAGCGCCTACTGGCACTCACATGCAAGTCTGATGAGCGCCGATGCTCTCTACAAACGCCAGGAATTCTGCTTCTGCCTGTTGGATCGCTAGCAGGGTGTGTTGCACCTCTCCGTGTCTCTGGATATTTCACATTTAAATGAGCTAAGAGCGCATCTGACTGAGACGCTGCCGATGGGTGTGCCGATTTAGACCTGTGAGCCAATGGTTGCTTTCTTCGCACAGAATTATCAAGGCGGGGCTTTTCTCTACGTTCACTCCATGCTTCGAGCGTGTTAGGAGAAACATGCAAAGCTTTAGACGAGGTTAGATTCTGGACAGCAAACAATGATGACTTGGGCCTGGCGGAGGACGCGGGTATGACACGGGTTGTGATGAATGTGTCCTGGCGCGTGGGGACCGACGCTCTCCGGCCTGACGCGGCCTTTCTCACGTTTGTCTGAACCACCGACTCGCTGCTCTCAGAGCTGATGGAGCTCTTACGCGTGTGGGAGGAACCGGCGCTTAGCTCTGACTGAGAAACATCACTGACACTCCGACTTCGAACAAACGTGGCGTCTCGGGGAGGAAGACACTTGCTTGTCTGACCGCAAGGAGTGAGCGGGGTTCTTACTGGGCTTGTGTGGAGGCTTCGCGTGAGAGCTCGCAGGTGGTGCGTGGCCATGGCGGGAACGCTGCTCCCCAGAACGGGACTAGCGCGAGGGCTGCTCCTCAGGGGCGCGCGCGCCGGACTGTTTCTGGGGCTGCGTGGCGCCCGTCCCGACTTGGTGGCCAGCTCCTTGGCTCTGGAGCGGCGGTGGCT